ATACTACCATTTGTAACAACATGGATGGACCTTAAACTAATCATACTAAGTGAAATAAACCAGACAGAAAAAGTTGAAAATCACATATCACTTACATAGGGATATAAACCTAAAAGCAACAAATGAACAAGACAAACAAAGACTCATGGACATGGACTATAGACTAGTAGTTACAAGAGGGTAGGGGGTATGGGAGGACAGGGGAGGTGGATGGGGTAAAGAAGGCCAAATATGGGGGCGTAGAGAGAGGGTGAAGTGGGTAAAGGGTATCAAATATATGGTAGCTGAAGGAAACCGGACTTTGAGTGGTAAACACACAATAGAATATACAGATGCCAAATTATAATGTTTAAAGTTTAAATTAAACTTAATTTAAAAAAATAAAGACTAAAAAGGTAATAAGACAAAGATGGATATTTTATAATGATAAAGTGGAAATCATCAAGAAGATATAACATACATATGTACCTGTTGGGAGCTCCAAAATATATAGAGCAGTTACTAACAGACTTATAGGGAGAAACTGACAAAAATACAATTACAGGTGACCTGAATGCCCCATTGACAACAATGGATAGATCATCGAAACAGAAAGTTAGCAAGGAAATATTGGCCTTACATGACACATTATACCGAATGGACATCATTGATATTTATAGAACTTTCCATCCTCAAACTACAGAATGTACACATTTCTCATATGTACATGGAACATTCTCAAGGATCAATCATGTCGAGGTACAAACTAGTCACAAATTTTTGAGCTCAAGGGTATGAAACTGGAAATTACAAGAAAAAACTAGAGAAACCATGAATATGTGGAGATTAAACAATGTGCTACTGTACAACAATTGGGTCAGAGAAGAAATAAAAGATCAGAAGATACATAGAGATAAATGAAAATTAAAATATGGCATACTAAAATTTGGGGCATTCAGCCAGTGGTACTAAGAGGGAAGTTTATAGCATTACAGGCCTATCTCAAGAAAGAAGAAAAATCTCAAATAATCTAACATTACACCTTAAAGAACTAGAAAAAGGAAATAAAAATTAGAGCCCAAAAAATGAAGTAGAGAAAAGATAATAGAAAAAAAATCAATGAAACAAAACGCTGGTTCTTTGAAAAGATAAAATGGACAAACCTCTAGCTAGACTCACTAAGAAAAAAAAAATCAGAAATGAAAGAGAAGTTACATTGGACACCACAGAAATACAAAGGATTATACAAGGATACTATGAAGGCTATACGCCACCAAATTCAATAACCTAGAAGAAACGAACAAATTTTCACAAATATATAACCTTTCTGGATTGAACCATGAAGAACGGGAAAACCTAAAAAGACCAGTCACTGGTAAGGAAATTGAAATAATCACAAAACTCCCAAAAACAAAAGTGCAGGACCAGATGGTTTCACTGGTGAGTTCTGCCAAACAAAGATTAAATACCTATCTTTATCAAACTTTTCCAAGAAATTCAAGAAGTAGGAATACTTTCTAACTCATTTTATGAGGCCAAAACTGCATACAACAATACATGAAAAGGACAATACATCATAATCAAGTGGGGTTCATTCCAGGGATGCAAGGATGGTTCAATATACATAACTGATGTGTTATACCACTAACAAAATGAAGGATAAAAGTCATATAATCACGTCAGATTCAGAAGAAGCATTTGACAAGATACAACATCCATTTATGATAAAAACACTAAAAAATGGGTATAGAAGGAAAGTACCTCCACATAGTAAAGGCTACATATGACAAACCCTCAGCTAATATACTCAGTGGTGAAAAACTGAAAGCTTTTCCTCTAAGTTCAGGAACAAGACAAGGATGCCTCGCTCTTCACTGTTATTCAACAGAATACTGGAAGTCCTATGAAGAGCAGTTAAGCAAGAAGAAGAAATAAAAGGCATGCAATTTGGGATGAGGAAGTAAAACTGTCACTATTTGCAGGTGACATTATTCTCTATATAGAAAATCCTAAAGACTTCACAAAAAAACTATTAGAAACAAACATAGTGAAGTTGTAGAATACAAAAATCATACAAAAATCTGTTGTAGTCCTATATACTAACAATGAAATATCAGAAAGAGAAATGAAGAAAACAATCCCATTTACAATGCAACAAAAATAAAATACCTAGGAATAAACCTAAGAAAACAGGTGAAGGACTTTTATAATGAAAACTACAAGACATTGTTGAAAAAAATTGTAGATGACAAGGAAATTAAAAAATATTCTGTGTTCATGGATTGGAAGATTTAACTTTGTTGAAATGGCCATATTACCAAAAGCAATATATAGATTTAATGCAGTCCCTATCAAAATCCCAATGGCCTTTCTTACAGAAGTAGAACCTACAATCCTCATATTTGTATGGAACAATAAAAGACCCTGAATAGCCAAAGAAGTCCTGAGAATAAAAGAACAAAGCCAGAGGAATCACACTCTCTGACTTCAAACTATACTGCAAAGCTACAGTAATCAACACAGTACAGTAGTGGCACACAGATCAATGGAACAGAATTGAGAGCCCTGCTATAAACCCACACATATATGGACAATTTTTGACAAACGAACCAAAAACATACAAGAGAGGAGAGCCAAAAACATACAAGAAAGGAAAGTCTCCTCAATAAATGGTGTTGAGAAAACTGGAAAGCCACATACAAAAGAATGAAACTAGACTGCTGACACCATACATAATCATTAATTCAAAATGGATTAAAGACTTGAATATAAGGCCTGAAATAGTAAGATAGATACATAGAAGAACACGGGAACTTATGGACCTTGGTCTCAGAGTGGTCTTTGGGAAATTGATCTCAAAGGCAAGGGAAGTAAAAGCTAAAATGCATAGTTAATCCAAGATAAGAGGAAACCAAAATTATCAGGTATATATTTTTATGCTGGCTAGAAATGTCTTCTCTTAACATCTTCAAGCAGAAGGAAGCAATGATGAAATTTTGACTCTGTACCTTGAGGTCAACTTGAAATCAGAATATTTAGGATAAGACTCGCCACCACAGACCCATCAAAAACAAGGACTGTGATAAGAATCTACCAGTCTTGTCCCCAAGGACATAGGTGGACAAGTATGGGAAGATCTGTGTTACCTGTCACCTATGCTTTTTGACAGGAGATAAGACAGGCCAAAGAGCTTATAGCTTTGGAGAAAATTTTAGGTACTTAGATTCAGGGTATGTTTAACTGCTGCTTTAAAACAGATTCAGAGAAAATACTGCCAAAGAGGCTTCATTTAAAGAGAAAGGGTATGGAGCATTTCATAATCAGGAACTAAAGTTTTGTCCCGATAGGTAAGAAAAGTGGGTAGCTGTTTTGCTAAACTGCCCTGGCAGTCCTTTTCTCCCACTAAAGTGTATAGAGGCTTCATGAAGGCACAGACCATGCTGTCCCATTCAACCCTAACCCTTCACAGCATCTGGAATGCTGCCAGGCACACGACAGGTGCTCAGCAAATACCTGAGTGGATGAGGCACTCTAGACAGGCCAACTGGCCCACTTACGTCTCATCAAACAGGGGTTCCAGGGTCTTCCTCTTCACTGAGGTCTTCTTACGACTAGCCCACCTCCTTTCTGGCAACAAGTAGACACGGACATAGGGATCAGCTCCACTGCTGGTACAGGGTGTCAGGTTTCTGATTTGGATTCAAAAACATTAAAGAAAAAAAGGTCCTGGTTTTGAAACACTGAAAATACTCATTTGGAGAAAGCCGTACTTGCCATTCAGCTTTAGATGGCCTGGAGGATAAAAATGCCCAGTAGTTTAGATGACCAAAAAAGCAAGTCTATAAAATTTGAAGGACAGAACATCAGGTGCATGGTTTTGAAAACATGCAATTTCGTAAATTTTGGAGTAGAGCCGAGTACTTTACATCTTAACAGAAGTTGAAGGTTCCCACTTGAGAAAATGCACTGGCTCCCACTACCCCAGGTAGTTCTGCCGTGCTTATGTCTGAGCAAAGCCCTTGGCTCTGGAGCCCGTCAACACACCACTGAGGACCTTGTCACTCATAGCATGCTGTCCTTGAAACCTCACTCCTTCCCATTGTCTACCTTGGGGCTCCCCACCCCTGCCATTGCTCCAGGTGCCCCTACTCTTGAATTTTTGGTCACTGGATGCTCCCAAAGGACCTTTTCTGGCCCCAGCATCCCTTTACCTGCAGCCATTGATTAGCACGCTGAGGCAGCGCCGCAGACACACATAGCGCACTGTGAGCTGAATCTCACCCAGCCTTCGCTGCCTGTGATCCCCGCCTCTGCAAAGAAAGGGCGTATCACTTCTCTTGCTGTTACAAGTGTTGGCCTCTCCCCTGACCCCCTAGATAGAGCATGGGTTAAAGAACCTCAGTCAGGTTTCTTTCAGTTGGAAGTCAGTTCCATCCAACATTCACATATAATTATCCTACGTCATGATAGGAAGAGCATGAACCCAGAGTGGGATCTGCCTTTGTATCACGATTTCTTGTGGGATCGTAGGTGAGTTATTCGACCTTTATGATAGTAAGTTCTATCTCATAGGGTTACTGTGAGGATTGAATTAAATAACGCGCTAAGCCCATAGTAAACACTTAAGTGGCAGTCACTGATTACATAATTCCATATTCTAAGCTTCCCATATCATCCCAGTGTAACTCTTTAAAATTCAGGAAATGGTTCTGCTTTAAGGAAACTTAACCAAAATCTAGCATCTCTTTTGTAGTTGGTGTGTAGCTAGAGCCACACCAGACTGTCTGGTACACACATGCTCTCCCATTACCCCTCTGTTCTTTCTGCCCCACCATGCCTGACTCTGAGGAAGCCATTTTGTGAAAAACCAGAATTTGCACAGAAAAGTAAGATTATATCTACTTTTCCATCCAGGGACTTATTTTTCATGTAGGTGATTTTAGAAAAGATTAAGCAGAGAGGTGCATACTCAATGTTGAGGCTGCTATTTGTCAGGTCAAAGCAGGAAGAGGCCAGGGAGTTGAGCGAGGACATGCTGGGAGCCAGCCTCGTGGGCGGCCATACGAATGGGGAGGCAGGGCATTTCATGGGTCTGGGTGACTTGATGGGCCCTGGAGAGTGGGGGCCTGGGACAGTCAGGAAGATGGTGGCCGAACTCTTCTTCTTGCCCATGGGCTCACAGAACCCTCTGGCACTGTCTTTGCCTTTGGGCTCTGGGCCTGTCTCTTGGGGGGTGGGCTCGGTGACAGTAGTGGTGGTACTGATGGTTGTCGTGATGCTCTTGGAGGCTTCCTTGGTATCAGAAGCAGGGTCTGGGGGGCATGGCAAATCTGCAGGGCCCTCTCCCTGGGGTGGAGCTTTGGGGCCCTGGTCGGTGGCCACCTTCTTAACGAAGAGAGGACCTTTCTTTAAGGCTTCAGGTCCTGTGTATGGGCTCCCAATCTCTCGTTCTTCCACACGTAGGAACTGAAAGCAGATGACAGGGTTGTTTATGGGCTGGACCCACCACTTTCTCCTCCTCTGCTCTCACCTTACCCTCTGGGAAATGGTTCCTTCTTTTTTCTGGAAGGAACAATTTTCTCAAAACTCTCAGTTCCTTCCTGACTTCCTAGTCCAATGGATTTTCCCCTCGGACCATATTTTCCTTAACCTTTCTCTGGCCCTGGCGCCCTCTGACCAGCGCTTCGCTACCTCTTCCCTGCTCCTGCCTCACTAGTGGGTCTTCGTGAAGACTCAGTCCTGGTCACATCTCTCTGTTCTCATACTGGCTGCTGGAGACCTGGCCCACTCACAGTATGCACTTGCCCTCTGTGCGGAGGTCTCCAGAGCTACACCTCCAGCCTTGCCCTCACCTTAACCTTCACGTGCGTCACCAGCTGCCTTCTGGATGTGGTCATTGTCTAGCTGTCACCTTATTCACCAGTGCTTTCCCTAAAATGTGTTTTCTACTTAGACCTACCCTGTGTTCCTAGCACCAAAGTTTCAGACCTCAGCCACTGCATCTCTCCTTTCCTTTTTCCCCTGAGTTATCAGGACCCTGCCTAGGGGCTTCAATTTCCAGCAATATGGTGGTCCAAATAATCTGAAAAATATCATTAAGAATGCCTAATAAAATGAACAAACATCCTTTTAAATGCATACCAAATTCGTAAAAAAGTAAGGAAAATCCCTAGAGTTAAAACCAAAAACAGAGAAAACTGAAAAAGGTTAAGCTTTCCTAGGGTCATTTATCAACCTTGGAATCCAAGGTGTTAGAAGAAGAGGCCTTGGCCAATGTGAGGCTGGGAGTTGAAGTAGGACCGATGAAGGTGGGATCTCGCTCTAGCGGGAAGAAGTAGTCTAGGATAAACATTCCACCCACTAGCAAAAACCGATGACAGGTTTGTCTGTCTGAGCCTGTATTCTGGTTGGGGGCAAATAAAGTCTTTCCTGAGAATATAGCACCCTATAGGCCTGTCTCATGTGAATTTGGGTTGCCTCTTATGAATTTATACTGCCTGTGGGGTCTTGAAACCCAACATTAAAAACTAACATAAAAATGAACCCAGGGTTATATGCCCCTGAGGTGCTTGGTTGCAACAACAGCAGAACCTCCTCGGAAATCCAGGTCACTAAGGAACACTGAACATATGTTTCAACCCAAGTTATCAAACATAGAAATGAGTCACTATGAAAAAGCATCAACAGACACAACGATCATCAAAATTCAACTCCCAAGACCTTCAGATAACAGAATTAACAGACATACATTATAAGTATTTTCAAATGATTAAAGATGAAATAGAAACATGAGAATACAATGAAAAAAGACAAGGTGGATTTGGAAAAGATAAAATTAGAAATGAAAAATAGCGTTTGAAAAAAAAAAAAAACCTGAACAGGTTAAACAGCAGATTAGGCATAGCCAAAGAAAGACTTAAATGTCAGAAAACACCTGAGGAAATTAGAACATAGTACCAAGAGATGAAGAGATGGAAAAAATTAAGACGAGGTCAGGGTGAGACATGGAGACAATGAGGAGGTCCATCATAGAAGGGGTTCTAGAAGGAAGTATTAAAAGACTGGGAGAGGCAATATTTGAAGAGCTAATGGCTGACAATATTCTAAAATTGGTGGAAAATATGGCCTAGCTTCTTCCTGATGTAGAGCAGATGCTTAGTGCCGGGGCAGTCCGCCTTGCTCCAGAGCCAGAGCTCCACCTGCCGCCTCCCCTGGGGCCAAGGGGAGAGATTTACCCGAAGCACCAGCCGCATGGAGATGAGGCTGTCCAGGCCTGAGTGGTCCAGCTGAAAGCGCTGCTCGAGGGTAAGGTCTGCACAGGGGAGAACCTGGCACAGGGGGAGCTCCAGCACTCCCAGAGCACACTCGTGGTCATCATCGAGCACCTGGGCAGAGGGCCAGTCACAGAACAAGAGAATAACCAAGCCCCGCCCTCACCACCACCACTCTGAGGCCCCGGCCAAGTCCGTGCTTCTGTTGGCCTCAGGCCCTATTGTAAAAACTGGAAATGGGACCAGGCCTGGTCCCTGCCTTTAGCCAGGGGAAGAGGGATCCAAGCTGGAGGCAATTATGACCTGTATGAGGCAAGTCTGTTAAATGCCCAGGGCCATGGTGGGGTTCAGGGACTGATGAGCTGTGCTGCTCCATAGTGAGACATCCAGTCAGGACTCAGGGCCCCAAAAGAGCAGACTTCTACCATTTGTTGGTCATGAGATATTAGACAAGACATTGTTTGAGCCTCTGTTTGCTCATGTGTAAAATAAAGATCTTTTTCTTCCACTGATCTTTTTTTGAAAATTAAATATTTTTTTAAAAGACATACATCATCATTAATGTCCTAAGCAGATTTCTCCACAGGCCCTCTGGCTGCTGTGTAACAACCAGAAAGACTCTTTTACAGGGAGGTCCAAGGGACTTGAGGGCTTGTCCTTTCACAGCCTCTTACCCAGTGGCCTTGGGCACCAGACTCATGAAGATGTGGGGCTTCAGTATCCTGCCTTTCACACAGGGGCTCACTTTACCGCCAGGAGCTCCCCACCCCTCCTGACTTAGACACCTCTAAGCTCTGTTCTAGGAGCCCAGCTTCAAGCAAACCTTGAGATTCAGCTGCTCAGCTGCTACATTTTGCACAAAGAAGGAGAACGCCTGGCTCCACACAGGGTCCTTGCTTCGGGGACAGGTCTGAAGACAGAAGAGGGAGAGATCATTAAAGGACCCAGTTGGACAGAGCAGGACACCAGTACCCTCTCCTCTCATCCTGGCCCCCAGGTACCACTGGGAGCACACTGCGTGTCTGCCAAGAGGCCAGACCCACATACGCTACAGCTTGTGGGGAGCAGGAGGGTGGGAAAGCCAGACTCGAAGGCAAGGAGGGCTTCGCCAGGAAGTTTTACCAGGGCTGAAAATCATATTAGCATTGGGGCTCATTTGAGGATGGGGGTAGTGACAGGATTTCTCCTGCTGGACTGGGAAACTTGGGGTGGTGGAAATGACACAGGCTTAGAGCTTGCCTAAGCTTGAACCCTAGTTCTGATGCTTTCTAGCTGTGCTCTTGGGTAAGTCACTGATCTGGCTCTTAGATTTTTGAACTATAAAACTATTTGTGAGGTTACTCTGAAGACTAAAAATAATGTAAATTGCCTAAAATGTGTCCTGTCACTGACGTATTAAGTGTAAGCTAATGCCCTTATCTTTTGCTTCTCCCTGGAAAGGGTTGGAGCCATCTCACCCTGTGGCTGCACACCGGCTATGTTACCTTGCTTGTATATGTCTTCTTGCCCACAGACAGCTTGACATAGGAAGAGGGGTCTCTGCTCACCTTATTCTGTGAGGGGGCAAATCCACAATGAAAGTGGCACCATCAGTATCAGCTTGAGACACCACGCCCCACCCTATGTCCCAGCCTTCAGGAGCATCAGTGGGACTTGTGGCCACCCAGTTGCTTCCCTTTGAGAGAAGGCTAGCCTGGTGCTCTCAGGACCTCTGGGCTGCCATCACTGTGCAAGTACCAGGATCAGGCTGACTCAAGGGGAAGGTTCAAGTTAAAGACAGGTGGCTGGAGCTGGGCACAGGCTCTTGTTCCCCGGAGCTATGGAGACAGACAGGGTGGAGTCAAGTGTTGGCTCCTCCCTTAGCTGTGTGACCCAGGCACTTAACCTTTGGGTACTATTTGTAAAATGGCAATAAAATTGGACACACAGTCCTCATGGGACTCAGGCGCAACAAATGTAGGGGATGAGTTGCCAAGCCTGGCTCACAGTGGACTTAATGAGCGGCAGTCTTGTCATCCCCAGGCAGTATGTGCACAGACTGCTGCTAGGAAGACATGGGGCTGTGGTTGCTCTGGAGAAAACGAGTTATGACTTGCTATCAAGTTTTCAGCCAGACACACACTTACCTTGGCAAACCTAGAGAGCTTTTTGGTTCGATATTCGCCATTCAGGTAGTCAAAAGCATTTCTCTGTAGCACAAGAAGGGTAAATGAGCAACACAACATTTGTAAATTTCCATTTCACATGAGCATTGGAAAGCGATGGGCACAAGGCAGGGTATGTGTGACACTGGCCACGTCACCACTCACCGGCAGGTTGCAGGCGCTCTCTAAGAAGACCACGAGGATGGCGGTGGACAAGCCATCATGGTCCTACAGGCAGATACAGACCCTCACTAGGTGCCCCCAGCAGCAGGAGACACATACTGGTGTTGGAGAAGCCTATTTGTGACAGAAGGAAGCCAGCCAGCCCTTGCCCTCCAGACTGGCCGTAAGATCCCTCGCAACCTAGCTTTTTTGTTGAGTCTGAGAATACAAGGACAGCATGACAGATTCAAGTTAGACACGAGGGTGGATCTTCTCTATGAACTGGGCTGACAGGCAGTAACACCCTTCTAAGGATCCGAGCTTCCCTGAAGATGGTCGAGATGCTCGGAGGCCATCTGCTAAGGCAGATCAGGAGCTGTCTTGTGTGGAGACAAGGGCCGAGGGACACGTTCTCCAGAAGAAGGTGGGGCTGGCTGGAAGACTAAGCAAAATCTGGGGGCTCATCTCCTTCCCTTCCTCTGCATGTACAGCCCGCATGTGACCAGCCCCACTGCTGGCCTCCCCTTTCTACTAGGGAGCCCTGACACCCCACACTCACCTCAGTCAGAGCTTCGGGGTCAGCGATCAGTGAAAGCCACTCTAACCGCAGATGTAGCCGCCCGCTGGTTGTGTCGTTCAAGACAAACCACTGCGGGAAGAGGAGGGAAAGGAAAGCTCAGGGAAAGGGCCAATGAGGTGCTGCTGACCCTCTGCAGGCAGCTTGGTTCTGGGACCCAGTGGGGCCCTCAGAGGGGCTTCAGGGAAAAGGTGAACCAGCTCAGACGGTGGACTCTGGGCTTAAAGGGCTGGGAGCCGTGGTTCTAGGTGGCCGGAAGTGCTACACGGTGGGATGGAAAAACCCTCCTACCCAGACCCAGCCTGCCCTCCCCTGCAGCATGACCATCCCCCGCTGGAGGTCCTTGGTCTATGGGCATTTCCAGGGAAGCTTCTTCCAACTTAGACCCTGATGGGTTCCCTGGGACCCATATGTGCCTTGTCCAGCTCTTGCCCTTGAAGACAGGCAGGCATGTGTGGCTCAGCATAGAAGGGACCCATTTCATAGGACTAGCTGGGCTGAGACAGCCTGCTAGAGCTGTCCATGGGGAGGGGGTTGCAAACATCAACTCTACCTCATCCACCACTCTGTTCATCATGACGTCCCCGAGGCAGATCTGCAGGCTGGAATACACAGGGAGTAGGGGTCAGCTCGGCTCCAAGGAGGCAAGCTGCAGAGGCTGTGGAGGCCTACCCTGCAATCTATTTTCAGGTATGAGTGGGGCCCTCAAGACAGGACCTTATTCATGTCAGAGAACCAATGGGAGACCACTTTGAGCTCAAGCAGAGGAAGGACTGTCTAACCATCAGGGCTGCTTCCACTGGGCATGCTGCCCTAGAAGGCAGGTGGCTGCCATCCCTGGAGGAAGAAAAGCAGACACTGCTGGACACATCGGCTCTGGATTCTCAGTGATGGTGCTGCTGGCATTTGAGTAGAATGATTCGTCATCGTGCAAAACTGCCCGTGCACTGCAGGAATTCAGCTTCCCTGTCTGGTACCCTCTAAATGACAGTGGCACCACCTTCCGCAGTCATTGTAACAACCCCAAATGCCCCTCCATTTCTAAAACTGCCTCCCTTGCCCTCCACGGGATAAGTAGAGTTGGCATGTATGAGAGAGGAAGTAACATCCACATTCACAGCGTGCCTCTCACCTACCCTGACCCAAGTCCAAATGGAAGAGCCTGAGAGCCAGAGGGGAAATTAATTCCATGTACCTGTTAGAAGTATGCTTAAGCTCAAAACACAACTTGAAATCAATTACATAAAACAGGAACCACAAGCCACACTTCTAATCTTTTTCATTAAGATGAAAAATAAAGAATGGAAAAGCAACATCTGGTGAGCTGTTTCTCAGGCGGTCAATTGTGCCCCTCCCATTTTTATTCTTATTTTTAAAAATTACGTGTTCACGGAAACAAGTTAAGCAATACAGGAGTATGAAGATCTACATAAAGCTTTTCCTCCTAATCCCAGCCATCTGAGGTGAGCAGCATGAGCATCCTGCTGCGTAGCTTCCACGCCCTTCTCTGTGCTCACACAAACACATGCAAACGTACACACACAAGGATCCTCCCTGGAAAAATCAATCGAACTGCACAGGTCACTCCCAAATGCTTTCCCCAATTTCTTAATACATAGCGGACATCCCCCAGGTCATTGTTTTTAAAAGCTGCAGAATATTCTGTAGTTTGGCAATGGCAGATTTATTCAAATGTTCAGCCAACATCCTCTAAGGCTGGACATACGTGTTGTTTCCCGCTTTTTTGTTTTGCCACCACAGTTTTGCAACAAACATTTCAGGTATAATGCCTTTATTCTATAGGAGACCTGGAAATGGGACTGCTGGGCCAAAAGATTTAAATTTGAAGTTCTGATAGCCAGCCCCACAGCCCTGAGTTTCCGTGTTCTACCTAAAAGTGAGTGGCCAGGGTTCCTTGGCACTGGGGGCCTGAGCATCCATGGCAGCCTAGCACCCCCAGGCCCAGCTCAGCCTTCCTCACCTGCCCAGGAAGTCGTCCCTGTTGGAATCCTCATCATATAGGTCTACCTCCAGGTCCTGCCCAGGGACTTCATACACTATGAACTGGAAGGAAAGAAAGGCGACTTGACCTGCAGGCCACGACAGCTCATGAAGCAGACCTCAAGTATGACTCAAGGGGAGCCAAATTCCAGCTGTCACCTGCCAGCTCGGAGCCGGGGGCAGGTTCCCACCCTTCTCAGTGCCTGGAGAACTCCACCTGTAAGAAGGGAGTGCCCCACTCCTGCATGGTAGGGAGGATGAGAGGCCACGCATGCAAACCCATGGCAGGGTGGGTGTACAGGGGACAGTGGTTGCTATGTGTTCTGCATGAGACTTGCAGCTTCCAGAGCACTTAACAGGCCAAGGGTGCTACCCGTCACGTGGTAGGGATTCCAGCTGAACTTAAGAACTTCAGGCTCCTGGTGTCTGCCTCTGTCAGGATTGGCTAGAGGAATGGGGAGGAACCGCCTCTAGGTTCTTTTACTTTGATTTGAAAACTTCCAACCAATCTGATTCTAGTGGGGAAAGCAGGTGGGGACTTGTCTACAGGCTGCCCTTCCTGTGGGGCCACAGCAGCCCACCTCTGGCGACGTGGTAGATATGGGAAGTGGGAATTATGCAGACCTGCCTGCCTGTCCCCAAGGCCCACTCCCCCGGCTCAGTGTTGCCCCACAGGTATGTGAGGCCCACGAAGGCAAGGCCCTCCCCTGTCTGTACCCAGCACAACCCAGAGTGGGACCTGGAGGACATCAAGAGTAGCCAAGAGTGGCCAAGGAGACCCTCACCTCAAACACCTCATTCCAGGTCGGGTTCAGGTTCTTGTAGATAGTCTTGCTCCGAAAATGCTGCAGGCCAATGCTCACCTTGGCATAGGGGTCTGACTTGCCTTGGATCCCCAGGAAGTGGTCCATCTGGGCCAGTTTCTCTGCCTCCAGCAAGTAGACTCTGATCACTCCCTGGAAAATGCCCCAGCCCAGGGCTCACAGCTGCTTCCTGGGCTGCACCAGCCCTCAAAGCGCACAACATCAGAGCCAAAGCCATCAGACATCACCCCAGCCCATCTCGCCCTCCGCATGGTTTGTACGGGGAGACAGAAGCCAGAGACAGCGGTCTCTTGGTCCAGGCCACGCAGCAAGTGATGGCAGGGCTCTGTCCACTGCATCACGATGCCCGCCTACATCCTTGGCCTTCCCAACCTTCCCTGCCTCTAATCTGCCATGTGAATGGTTTATTCAAATGCAGCCATTTCCTCCTGTGCCAACAACTACGCCACCTGAGGAGGTTTCCACCTGTATTCCAGCCCGCTCTCTCTAACCTGTGTGTAGTCTAAGCTCCATTGTCATTTCTTCCCAATACCCAGCCCTGGGCACTGTAAAAGGCTCAGCACTGACTGTCACCCCATCCCCCACACTCTGGGCTTTGTCTTACGGAACAGAGCACAAGAATTGGGAAAAACACAAGAATTGGGAGTGCTAGTTGCACTCCTGCCTAGAACTGTTTAAATATATATACATATATACATATATACACATATATATATATATGTGTGTATATATATATATTAGTTAATACACATGCATTTTCCCTTTGACCCAGCAAACCCCATTTCTAGCCCTAAAGGCATATTGGCAAAAATATAAAAAGATATGTACAAGGCTATTCATGACAGCATATTTGTCAGAGCAAAAGGCCAGACACAACTGAGCCGTCTGTCAATAGAGAACTGGTTAAGGAACCGGCAGCGCATCCACACCGTGGAGTGCTACGCAGCTGTAAGAACGAGAATGGGTTCCACCTTCACAGGGAGTGATCCTCAGGACGTAAGAAGTGATCAAAGCAGTGGGGGGCAGGGGGTGAGCTGTAGTGTGCAGCTGTCCATCCAAGAAAGGGGGACCACGAATATAATCAGATATGTACACACCACTATTTACGTACCCGCTCATGTTAGAAAGCAAATAATGAAAAGTCATAGAAAGATAAAGCACACTTACAGGGGGAGGGTGGAGATGAGTTGGAGGGATCAGGGATAGAAGCCAGACTCCTTAAAACATAATTTGTGTTTTTATATTGAACTTTGGAAGTGTACAAATGTTTTTACATGATTACAAAAGGAAGTTAAGGTAAAAACTAAACCCTAAAAATAAAAAATGGGACGAAACTAATCACTGTAAATATTCATTACCAGTTGTCACAAACACACAGAGAAGGACTAGTCTGAGTTTGGATCAGAGCAGCTTGATAGTACTTCTTGAGTGAGATATACCCTAAGGATAGAATGTTTTAGGTAGTTGCAATGTAGGTGATGGCATTATATTGTTATTCTCAGACTGCCAAACGCTCAGTGTAGGATAAAGCCCAGTGCAGTTAAGGGAAATCTACGTACGTCTGTGCTCCCTGGCTTGCCGGCCCCTCACCTCTGCATGCCCTGAGTAGGCTGATGCCTCACACCTAGTGCTGAGGGTGAACTGGGTGCTTTCCCTCTCCTGAAGTCCTGACACTGAAGGGCTCCGGGCCACAGCCAGGGCACCTTCTGTAGGAAGGCCACGTGGCTGTCCTCGGGAGCCTCCTGAGCTGGGCCCAGGACGTAGAAGGCAGCAGGGCTGAGCTCCCAAGGGAGCCCCATGTCCTAGCTCTATTGAACATTAACCTTCCCAACAGACCCCAAGGATTCTTCCATTGCCAAATAATGGGGTCGGGGAACCTTATTTCCCTCGAGGAAGGATGTGAGGCTCCTGGAGTTTCCTGGAGGTGATGGGGACTGCCCGCAGTCCCCAAACCCCTACCCAGGCCAATAGGGGGACCAGGATGTGGGAAGGAATGCCAGATGGGCTTTACCCCTCCTTAGATGGGTAACTTTGGACAAGCCATTCTACTTTCCCAAGGCTCAGTCTTTACCCTACGAGTGTCCCATGCCCCCCACGGGGCAGAATAACAATTACCATGTGAGAATGCATTCCCCTCTCAGCCTGTCTGTCCCCCAGCACTGGACTTCATGCCCTGTGGCCAGTATGGTACTCACGCAGGGCAGAGGGAAGCGCAGGTTGGTCACATCCAGCCCCTTCTTCACTGGCACAGTCACGCGGTTGGGCAGCACCAGGTGGGCAGCGATGAGGTCCTCCAGCAGGCTGTCTGACACCTCGCTGAAGAGAGTGGGCATTACCAGCTGCGGAGGGGTGGCACTACCTCCCCCAGGCGGCCTGCCCCTCCACCCCTCCACCCCTACCCGGAGTTGGAACCAGGAGCAGAGCTCCAGGGTAGGCTCTGCCTGGGAGAGAGCAGCCCTGACTCCACCTGCCTGGATAGGGGAGGGTGTGGTCATTTTGACAGCCTCCGACCACCACCACATCCCCATCCTGCTTTATCCTTCTCTGACGCATCACGACATGGTAGCTAAGAGGGATGACCTAGAACCTATGTTAAAATCTCGGCATCACCACCTACAAGCTGTGTGACTTGGGGTAAGTTGCTAACCTCTCTGGACTTCAGTTTCCTCATCTCTAAAATGAGGATAGTCATGCCCGCCTACTAGGGTTGTTACAAAGATGAGTTAACATGTATGACATGTTGAGAACAGTGCCTAGTGCACACGAAATGCTAGGTGAGCGAGCATTGGCTACTGTAGCCCTTCTGCTCCTTGGTGTCACATCCAATTCCTCTTTATTGCCTGACTCTTCCCCAGTAGAGGAAGCAGGGACAGTGCCTAGAATAGGATTGGCCACAGTAGGTGCTCGGTAAATGTTTTTTGAATGAAAGAATGCATAACCATATTTTCTGCATCCAGGGGTCCGAGATCAATGGACCCCAGGAGAGATTGAGTGGTCCTCCCCACAGGCAGGGGCAGTGCCTGAGCCTGGCGAAGCAGCTGGTGTGTGCCTTGCTAGTCTGGCTGTCCTTCCTCGCCGGGGAGGAGTGTCTCCATGGGGCTGGAGCCCTTCTCTGCTCCGACCTGAGGACCTGAGGCTCTGAGTGACCCCCCACCACCCCACGCACACACACCCCTCCCTGCCAGCCCTGGGAGGGTGCACTTTCCAAGACCGATCTCCTCACTGGCCCCTGCTGTGAGAGCCTCCCCTCCCACACCTGTTTTTGACCATGGTTGGGGGAGGCCACATGGACTTCTCACCACGCCCTTGTGTTGGGGAGGGGGTGGAGTGAGGATGAAAGGACACTGTGCCACTACCACACACACCTGAGTGTTCTCCCATCAACCCCAAGACAGAGGAACCAGGCTCCCCCTTTTACCGAGGAAGAGCCCAGAGGGGTGAAGTAACTAGTCCAAAGTCACACGGTTGCTAAACAACAGAGCCAGAAGCCTGGTCTGGCTGGGTCTGGTTCCAGAGCCTGTGCTCTCTCATTAGCTCACAGGGCCTCCTTTAGGACATCTCGTCTGATCAGAGACCCTCTCCCCGGGCTCTCCCACGTGTGTGCAAATCATGTGTGTGCATGTGTGTTCTGGTACAGTGCCTGCCCACAGAGGCCAAGCAACACTGTTAGCCTCCCAGCTCCTACTCAAAACACATCAACACTTTCCCTCTGGAGTGGGTGGGACTCGGGGCCTACCCCACTCCTCAGGCAGGGAGCTGGGAGGGAGGGCACAGCCACTGCACAGCCACTGTGCAGCACGTCACCATTACCGACTAGTGGCTCTGGAGGGCCCCGCACTTAGAGTCTGTCTGGCGGCTCTTCCAGACACTTACTTGATCCCTGGTGCATCGAGCAGGTTGGTCAGGCCCGTCCAGTTGATCTGCAGGTGCTGCAGGGCAGAGGGAGGCTGTTAGGCTGGAAGGGGCCAGAAGCCCAGGATTGAGAACCCTCTGCCAAGTGCCTCACACCCACCCACATGGAAAACCCAGCCTGCTGGGGGGCGCCTGCTGCAGGAGTATCAGGCAGGGGAGGGAACCTTGCATTCTTGCTCAGGCCTCGGCTCAGGAGGGGCTAGGCCTGTCAGGCCTTCTGCTTTCCTGTAGGACAACCACAGCCTCTGCACATGGCCACAGGCTGGCCTGAACTTAGAGTGGTCTGAGGGAGGGGTCCCCAACCCAAGGGCCACGGTCCGCAGCCTATGAGGAACTGGGCCGCACAGCAGGAGGTGAACAGCAGCGAAGCTTCATCTGTATTTGTAGCCGCTCCCCAGCGCTATCATCACTGCCTCAGCTCCACCTCAGATCACTAGGCTCAGATTCTCATAGGAGCACTGGTCCTTGGTACCAAAAAGGTTGGGGTCCATTGGTCTAAGGTATAGATTCCTCACTATCTCCGATCACCTGTGTGACCTTGGCAAGACACTTCTTTGAGCTGTTTCTGGTCCTGAGGAGAACCTCAAGCTTCCTTGAGGCCTGGACTACATGGGATAGAGCTGTGGAGTGCCTAGGTCAGGGCGGGCTTAGGCAGTGTCCATTCTTGGGCTCAAGCCCAGCGCCTGGGGCCCAGCAGGCATGTGCTCTCTCACAGGGAGCGGCAGGCCTGCCTCTCATCCCTGAGACTCACCGGCTTTTGAAGGAAGAACAAGGTCACAGCTCCCACGAAGGGCTTGTCCACCAGGAGGGGATCCAGGATGATCCGCAGTGTGCCCTGCAACTGAAGAGACACAGAGGACCCAGTGAAGGACCTCAGCCTCCCTTCTTCCTGCACCTGCTGTCGTCAGCTGAGGCCACTGCTGTCTTATTCAGGCCCCATGCCACCCCAAATGTCCGGGCCGCCTGCTGTCACAGCAGGGACCAAACTTAGGGGACTGAAACCTGCACACAGTTGCTACCCCTCTGCTGGCTCCCCAGGGGCCATGAGCTAGCCCCGACTGCCTTCTGCTGGTGTGCTGGACTGAGGGGCCTTTAGCTTTGCCCATGTTTCAAGCCAGCCAGTCAGCAGGGACCCAAGAGTCTTTCCAGCTCCAACTCAACTCTGCTACTTTTGCCATAAGATATTTTCAACTCCTTGATCCAACACCATCTCCAAGCAAAGGCTCTGCATCACCCCATAAAAAGAATCTCTCCCTTCCCTGGGCAGCCAAAGTCTCTCTGGGGGTGTATAGCTGAGCAGGTTGGTGAGGCTCAGCCACCACGTCTTGGCAGTGTGACCTTGGGGCCTGAAGTCCAAGCCTCTGTGTTTGGGGTCATCGCCCCCTTTGCAGCCTAGTCCGGTATGAGCCTGCTTCCCCCAGCCCTGACTCCCACCCCAGGGGCAGGGATGGCGGGGAGGGCAGTCCTACCAGGCTCTACCCACCTGGATCCCATTCACACCAGCCTGCATCTTCTGCAGCTCCACACTGATCTCGCAGTCCCCAATGTAGCTGAAAGGAGGGAGGGAGAAGAAAGGTGGGGAGGAGAGAAACTTGCCCAGCGGCACCCGGGCCAAGCCCAGGTGGTGGTCGCCCAGCCTGAGCCTTGCTACACCTGGATATGGTCTCCCTACCAGCCTCAGCCTAGCTCCCTGCACCCAGGTGTCCCATACACATCCCTACCTCTGCCCTCTCCCCTCACCTCATGGATGCAGGAGAGGGGCTCTAGCGAGCGCACTGCCCACCCCTCTACCACTGCAGTGCCCCCGCCCCATCTCTGCTGGGGTCTCTTCCCAGAGAACACAGAGCAGCCCCACTGTTTACATCCAGCCTTTCATCTGGGTTGTTGGTAGGAGGGGTAACGTCATCAGGAGCCTGAGATCTACTGGTGGCTCTTGTCAAGTGATAGGCACAAGGAGCCCAGAACGAGTGCCCTTGAGGCTATAGATGAAGAGACCTTGTCCAAGGACTTAAGGAGACTAAGGGGAAGGAGAGGATGGCCATCGAATATCTCCAGGACGCAGGTAAGGGTGCTAAGGGTGCCCTGCACCAATCTACTGAACTAGTCGCTCACGTGCCTTTGCATCCTTTAGTTACTGTCCAAGGACTTAAGGAGACTAAGGGGAAGGAGAAGGTGGCCATCGAATATCTCCAGGACGCAAGTAAGGGTGCTAAGGGTGCCCTGCACCAATCCACTAACTAGTCGCTCACGTGCCTTTGCATCCTTTAGTTATTTCTGAGATGCCGCAGAGTCCAGTTCTCTTGCTGGTCTCTCACAGCCTGTGCGCAGAGCTCCCTGCATCTCACCACGGTTCCAGCATCTTCTTGCCACACTTGCTCCCTCTTGCTACATTCTGACTCTCTAGGTGATCTGGCCCTGGCCTCCAAGAAAGCTCTCCTTCCTGGGCCTTGGTACCCAGAGCACGCTTAGTGCCCGGTCTGATGGGTGAAGCCAGGCCTGGGCTGAGGGGTCAGATGGCAGTGGCCCCCCC